AATATTTTTACAGCTGACAGGATTTGTTTTCCCATACAGGTGCATTATTTGTTAAAAAAAATTTGGTTTATTGTTACACACAATGGTGCTACATAGCCTTCCCAGCTTGGTGCCTTCTTTTAATACTTACTGATTAAAAAATAAATAATAAATACATTTTATTCAGGAAAAGTACATACAGTTGATTTACAAACATAATGTTGGATTTATAGGCAGAGCTAGTACATACAATACCTAAAGCCACTAATACTCATAGCATTTCGGGCAAGGTGTCGGGGGATAAAACAGACTAAAACTTAATAGTAATCAGGATTAGGTATGAATTGTGTTGAAAGAAGGAATAAAAAATACAAAAAGGGGGTTAACATAGCATAAATCAGCAATTGCACATGTTGGTGAACAGCGTTGTTTAAAAAATAGCAAGACATGGGTTGACATTTAGGAGGTAAGTTAGGTTACATGGAGTTAATTAGGCAGTACTTGGTTTAACTCTTAAACTGGTTGAGAGAGGTACAGCCTTTGACATGATTCGGGAGGTCATTCCACATTCTGGGTCCCTTGATTTGTAGAGCACTTCTAGTTTGGTTACACACAGCCAAATTGAGTAACAGGAAGAGGTCTTGGACACAAATTTGTTCCATGTTAAATGTAGATGAATCAGCTGAGTGTTCCTCAAATAAAATAAGTTGCCTCAGCTTATAAGGTAAATAAAATAAGCATTTCTCAAATAAGTAGCTGCCTCACCTCACTGCCTTACTGCTACATAGCCTTCCCGGCATGGTGCCTTTTGATAATTACTTGTTCCACATCCAAATTGTATAACAGGAAGAGGTCTTGGACCCCTACTTCCCTCTCTCTTTTTTAATAATCTATATAGTCATAATTATAGCTTTAAGTATTCAATGAATAAAGTTTTTGACATTTTTACCCTTTTTCTTACCTGTATTTGTGCAGCATATTTTTATTTTATGTCTCACCCAGATTTAATTTAAAAATAAAACCAAACTAAATAAATTAGAAATGGGTATGTATAGCTAAGGTACACCCTTACTACTAGGTGAACAGGGGCATTTGGTGATAGTAAATGATCCCATCAGGCAGGGCTCATCACCTTCTCTCATATTTCATGTTCACCAGTGTTTATTTACTTAATAACTACTAGTATAATATCTTGCTATTATAAAACTAATTCTACTATCATCAAACACATATTTACTTCAAGTTTCAAGCAGAGAATGCATATATAACTAACACGAAGGATTCCTCTTCACTAGATTCACCAGCTATAATATTTTGGTCATGTTCCAATATCATAAATCGATCCCAGTGTTATGTAGTAGAGAAAAAATGACTTATATCCAGTTTACGTAAAGCTACGAGTGGTCGAAACCACACTTAAATCCCGGAATGAACTTACGAAGGTTTTTCCACTTAGGGTAGTTAATTGAATACAGACGTAGCCGCCACGAAAGCGCTAAGACGGAAAACGCTCTTAGCTAAGAGGAAAAACCTTTGTAAGTACCTTCCTGAATCCGGCCCCTGCAGGCTACTAGGTACGACATATATATATATATATATATATATATATATATATATATATATATATATATATATATATATATATATATATATATATATATATATATAATATATATATATATATATATATGTCGTACCTAGTAGCCAGAACTCACTTCTCAGCCTACTATTCAAGGCCCGATTTGCCTAATAAGCCAAGTTTTCCTGAATTAATATATTTACTATAATTTTTTTCTTATGAAATGATAAAGCAACCCTTTTCTCTATGTATGAGGTCAATTTTTTTTTATTGGAGTTAAAATTAACGTAGATATATGACCGAACCTAACCAACCCTACCTACCCTAACCTAACCTATATTTATAGGTAAGGTTAGGTTAGGTAGCCAAAAAAAGCTAGGTTAGGTTAGGTTAGGTAGGTTAGGTAGACGAAAAAACATTAATTCATGAAAACTTGGCTTATTAGGCAAATCGGGCCTTGAATAGTAGGCTGAGAAGTGCGTTCTGGCTATTAGGTACGACATATATATATATATATATATATATATATATATATATATATATATATATATATATATATGTCGTACCTAGTAGCCAGAACGCACTTCTCAGCCTACTATTCAAGGCCCGATTTGCCTAATAAGCCAAGTTTTCCTGAATGAATATATTTACTATAATTTTTTTCTTATGAAATGATAAAGCAACCCTTTTCTCTATGTATGAGGTCAATTTTTTTATATTGGAGTTAAAATTAACGTAGATATATGACCGAACCTAACCAACCCTACCTAACCTAACCTAACCTATATTTATAGGTAAGGTTAGGTTAGGTAGCCAAAAAAAGCTAGGTTAGGTTAGGTTAGGTAGGTTAGGTAGACGAAAAAACATTAATTCATGAAAACTTGGCTTATTAGGCAAATCGGGCCTTGAATAGTAGGCTGAGAAGTGCGTTCTGGCTATTAGGTACGACATATATATATATATATATATATATATATATATATATATATATATATATATATATATATATATATATATATATATATATATATATATATATATATATATATATATATATATATATATATATATATACATATATGTTGTACCTAGTAGCCAGAATGTCGTACTCAGCCTAATATGCAAGGCCCGATTTGCCTAATAAGCCAAGTTTTCCTGAATATATATAATGTTCAAACATGTTTTCTTATGAAATGATAAAGCTATCCATTTCATTATGTATGAGTTATTTTTTTTAAATTTGAGTTAAAACTAATGTAGATATATGACCGAACCTAATCAACCCTACCTTACCTAACCTAACCTATCTAAACCTAACCAAAACTAACACAATTATGTCAATAATTTATGTTCTTAATATAATATAATAATAATAATTCAAATAAACTAATTGGAAACAATTTATTGAAAATAAAGAAAATCACTCGGCCTATTAGGCAAATCGGGCCTTGCATAGTAGGCCGAGAAGTGCATTCTGGCTACTAGGTACGACATATATATATATATGACAATGTCAGACCACGAAGGAAAAATGAAACAGGAAATTTCCTTAAGTACTTTCGTATATTAAATACATCTTCAGAAGGTCCAAGTTTTCCTTCCTTCTGAGACCTTCTGAAGATGTATTTAATATACGAAAGTACTTAAGGAAATTTCCTGTTTCATTTTTCCTTCGTGGTCTGACATTGTCACATTCTTAATCACGTGTTTATTTTCGTGATATACACACATATATATATATATATATATATATATATATATATAAATATATATATATATATGTCGTACCTAATAGCCAGAACTCACTTCTCAGCCTACTATGCAAGGCCCGATTTGCCTAATAAGCCAAGTTTTCATGAATTAATGTTTTTTCGTCTACCTAACCTACCTAACCTAACCTAACCTAGCTTTTTTTGGCTACCTAACCTAACCTTACCTATATATATAGGTTAGGTTAAGTTTGGTAGGGTTGGTTAGGTTCGGTCATATATCTACGTTAATTTTAACTCCAATAAAAAAAAATTGACCTCATACATAGTGAAAAGGGTAGCTTTATCATTTCATAAGAAAACAATTATAGTAAATATATTAATTCAGGAAAACTTGGCTTATTAGGCAAATCGGGCCTTGAATAGTAGGCTGAGAAGTGAGTTCTGGCTACTAGGTACGACATATATATATATATATATATATATATATATATATATATATATATATATATATATATATATATATATATATATATATATATATATATATATATATATATATATATATATATATATATATATATATATATATATATATATATATATATATATATATATATATATATATATATATATATATATATATATATATATATATAGATATAGATATATATAGAGCTAAAAGTGGATATGAAAATCTTGTTGGTCAACTCTGCGCATGTAGTGTATCCACTGTGGGAGAGCTATTTCCTTCAAAAATTATAGTCGTGCGGCTTTATGTTTAAAGAAACAATTTCAAGTACATTCTTTGATTGAAAAACATGAATATAAATAGAAGTGTTAATTGTAAATGATCACTTATAAACAAAAATAAGAAGTAGGAAAAATGATATGTGGAACCAGACAAAAACATTGGAACGCTCAGGTGATGAGAGGGTAAACAACCGCCGCCATTTTAGCAGCATCCGCCGGTGATGTCCAGCACGAGCATTAAGGGTCACGAACCTTGACGCAAATTGCACCTATCATAAAGAAAAAGCACCACCATTGACCGCCAAGTGCTCACATCAAGTCTAACTCTAAGAAACAACACTCAAGCCTTGACGCTTCTCCCAACATCCGGGGGAGAAAACCTTCACACAAACTGCACCTGTCATAAAGAAGATGAAGACTCACCAGTGTCCACAGTGTCCGAAGGTATTCACCTGTCCTTCACGTGTAGAGCGTCACATGTTAGTGCATTCAGGTGATAAACCTCACGAGTGTCCAGAGTGTGGGAAGAGATTCAGTCAGCGTGGAAGTATGAAGACTCACATGATGGTGCATGCGGATGAGAGACCTTTTCAATGTGCCGAGTGTGGAAAAAAATTTAGTGTACATGGAAATTTAATAAGCCACACGTTAGTGCATTCAGGTGACAAACCTCATAAATGTCCAGAGTGTGGGAAGAGATTCAGTCTACGTCAAAGTATGACGACTCACATGTTAGTGCATTCAGGTGACAAACCTCATAAATGTCCAGAGTGTGGGAAGAGATTCAGTCTACGTCAAAGTATGAAGCGTCACATGTTAGTGCATTCAGGTGACAAACCTCACGAGTGTCCTGAGTGTGGGAAGAGATTCAGTCAACGTGGAAATATGAAGACTCACATGATGGTGCATTCGGGTGAGAGACCTTTTCAATGTGCCGAGTGTGGCAAAAAATTTAGAGAACGTGGAAATATAATAAAGCACATGTTAGTGCATTCAGGTGACAAACCTCATGTGTGTCCAGAGTGTGGGAAGAGATTTAGTCGTCTTGGTGATATGAAGAGGCACAAAATGATACATGCAGATAATCGGCTAAACACTTACAGTGTGGAAGGTAATTAAAAGAATGTTGAAGGATAATGAGGCACATACAGGTATAGTAACTTAACTTTAATCTAACAGTGTGTGGTATCACAATGTCAGTTGGATGTTCTTCAAAGGTAATTCTATTTTGTTTGAGAATGCACTTCACCATGAAAGGTAAAGATCAAGATATTTTATTATATTGTTCTTTTATGAAAGTTAGATGACCAAGCAAGAACTAGAGAAGCTGTCACTAAAGGAAAATTCAAAATTGCTTATAAGTATAGAAATATCTCTTTAGTTTAGCAAAGATAAATCAAAGCTTTAAATGTTTTTCTTCACATTTATGTAAATAATAATGTGCTTTCTGTTTTTGTTCTCTGTGAAAATTTATTTAAAATGTAATATACTCTGTAGCTAAGTTATGGACATTATTGTAATATTATTTAGCATTGGTGCTGGTAAAGAAGACAGTCTGAGACTTACATAAGATGAGACCATTTGATTGATAGGGAAATGTAGGTTAATCAAGGAATTTTCTCATCAGATTCATATGCAAACTGATGTCTATTTTATATTTTTTGTTTAGGCATATTTATGAATAATACTCTTGATTATAAATATTTCACCGAAGAGTTTATTGAAGGCAGATTGGCATTTATAACTGTCAGTCAAGTTAATATGAAATTTAAATTTATGTTACTCTAGAAATTTACATCACTCTAAATTTACCAGAAATTTATATTACTCTAGCCTAACTTTATCAGTTATGCTGTAATTGTCTTGGAATAATATTTTACCCGATTTACCTGAGGGCCACTAACCCTAGTGGCCTCGATAAAAACGGGAAGCTGGCAGCTTGTTGAAGATTCCCTCCCCCCCCCCCCAATTTTCCTTGATTTTTTCCAGGTATATTTTGAAATTCAGCACAATTTGGCAGTTATGGCGTTGGCAGGTAGTCAGTTCCATCGATCAATAACCCTGTGGGTGAAAAAGCCTTATTCAAAGTTATATTAGCTTGATTAGCATTAATATTATCTTGATTCCTATAATCCTCTTTCAATTATATTATCCAAACTGGCAATTATATTAAGATGATTGTGAATTACATAAACCTTACTGGCAATTATATTAGCATGACTGTCAATTTATATCAAACTGATACTTATTTATGTTGTGGTGCTCGTGGGTTCTATTACATCTATCAATGGAGAGTTTCAGATCAGGATTAGCATATAAGAACAAGGTTTTGTACATGTAAATAGCACAAGAGATTGTGTAGAGCGAGTGTATATTTAGCATTTTCATGGATTTAAACAGAGAGGCTGTGTGTTGTTTGAAGACAATTTTATTGTTCTGATAGGAGATTTTTATTGGGTGGTGATGAGCATCAGGTAATTTGCAGTGGATGAATGAACCCCATGCATAGATACCATATGTTCACATACCAACCCTAATTTTCAAAGAAACCTCTAGATTTTTAGCTCCAGCCATTTCATTGCTCTACAACAAATCATTTGAACTCCAAACCTTTCCTGATATTCTAAGGGAAAAAAAAGCAAGAGTAACCTTAGTCCGTTAAAGTGTCAATCTCACTGAAGTCAACAATTATAGACCAATATCAACTCGGCAGATTTTGTCTAAAATATTTTAAAGAGTTAATCTACAAGCAGCCTTAATCCTATTTAGCAAAACAAAATTTACTTAGTTCTTGCCATAATGGTTTCAGGCCCAAAAAAGGACCAATCATGCACCGATTAGTATGATTAACTTTATATATGCAGCTCATGGAAGAAATGAGTACCCTTGTTCATTTATTTGTTGACCTACATTAAGACTTTTTTACACTGTTAACACATTAACTTTCTTAAATTACAACATTACGGAGTAAGAGGTTAATCCTTCCAATACCTACAGTCTTACTTTAGTGACAGGCTCCAGTATTTCTCTGTGAATGATTCCAATTCACCCACTCTACCTATTAACACTGGTGTTACACTGGGCAGTATTCTTCACCCTCTTGTCTTTCTCATCTCCCCCTCCCTTTCCAGCCCGTTGCCATCATGAGGGGGCTTGGTTGGCGGATGCTAGAGTGTGATGCTCCATGGGACAGTGTCCTCTGTCCTTTTGAAGCCTAATGCTCTTGCTGCCATCTTCGCTAATTGTGCTGAATGCTTTTTCCTATTAAGTTTAATTTTTCCTTTCCAATTCTCCTGTTTAATTGCTATTTCCTTGTGACGTTTTGCAATTCTTGATTATTTTTTCAGATATTTTCTTCTGTTTAGACACCGGGTTTTTTGGGAGGCACACACACTCACCCGTTAAACTGTGGTACTCGGCATTGTCGAGCAAGGAGACACCTTTATTGTCAATTTTTTCCTTCATTGCTGAGCCCAATTATATCGTGCTGAACTTCTATTATATCTTGACGGACTGATGATTCCTATGGTTACGATTGTAGGGCGTATATCTACAGTGCACCCCACCAGACAAAGGCCCCCCACCCTTGGAGGTGGGGGGGCCTTTGTCTTGTTGGGTGTCCCATCCTCTAATTGTGGCTCAATGGTGGGTATGGGGCCTTGTTTGTTGATGAAATGTTTACTCATTCATTTACATGCTGATATCTGACCCTCTTTTTAACTTCTAAGACGTGAGGGGTGGGAGACCAGGCCCCCAAGTTGAACTGTGATGGAAAGCTGGGCTCTGTAGCCCACACTACATTGGTCCCAGATCAGGCAGCTCCTGACTCTCCCTGCTTGATGGGGTTCTGGGAGCTCTTCTACTACCTGACTTGTGAGTGCTTGGTCCACCAGGTCCCAACTACCCCTATCTCCTCCCCCTCCCACCTCTGTGGCTGGGTTGAGCCCCAAGCTCCCAATGATGACCACCTCATCACATGTAGTGGCTCCATCTCTCATTGTAACAACTGGGCCTCTTTGCCCCCCCCTCCCCACCTGCCCCTCCCTCTTACTGGGGGTGCTCGGTGCTGTTCCCTCCGCAGTCACACTCACAGGATTCCTTCCAGTTCTAATACGTTCCAAGCTTTATTTGGTTCTGCTACATGGACTAAGTATTTTGATCTTAGTCATGATGATTCTACTCGTCCTGAAGATTTATTCATCCATTAACACCTAGTTGATTTGGTGGATACCTTTGTCATTTTTATCCCCACGCCTACTGATACATGTTTCTTTGCAGCGCCTTCTCGGGAATTAGCTGTCTGCTTAGCCTCGTTGTCCTGCATTGGGAAACCCCGGTTCAGATCTCCAAAAATGCCTAGTTAAATGCTAGGATTTACACAGCTATTCTCCCGCAACATGTAGCGACTGGTGATAGCTGTCAATGCCATCAATCAGAGCTATCGATAAGCTTTAATATACCTAGTAATCTCTCTCTTTTTTTTTTTACAAAGTATCTGTCAACTTTCTAAAAATTTTGCTAAAATTTACCTACTTTAAATTATCCGTTACATTAAGGACCTTCTCGAAACGCTGCATGTAATAGTAGCTTTACAAGAATGTAAACACCATGCTATGTACCCCTAACAAACCCAATGTTCCTTGTGTGTGTGTGTGTGTGTGTGTGTGTATATATATATATATATATATATATATATATATATATATATATATATATATATATATATATATATATATATATATAATGTATGTCGTACCTAGTAGCCAGAACGCACTTCTCAGCCTACTATGCAAGGCCTGATTTGCCTAATAAGCCAAGTTTTCATGAATTAATATATTTTCTCAAATTTTTTTCTTATGAAATGATAAAACTACCCATTTCATTATGTATGAGGTAAATTTTTTTTATTGGAGTTAAAATTAACGTAGATATATGACCGAATCTAACCAACCCTACCTAACCTAACCTAACCTATCTTTATAGGTGAGGTTACGTTAGGTAGCCGAAAAAGTTAGGTTAGGTTAGGTTAGGTAGGTTAGGTAGTCGAAAAACAATTAATTCATGAAAAATTGGCTTATTAGGCAAATCGGGCCTTGCATAGTAGGCTGAGAAGTGCGTTCTGGCTACTAGGTACGACATATATATATATATATATATATATATATATATATATATATATATATATATATATATATATATATATATATATATATATATATATATATATATATATATATATATATATATATATATATATATATATATATATATATATATATATATATATATATATATATATATATATATATATATATATATATATATATATATATATATATATATATATATATATATATATATATATATATATATATATATATATATATATTTTATGTCGTACCTAGAAGCCAGAACGCACTTCTCAGCCTACCATGCAAGGCCCGATTTGCATAATATGCCAAGTTTTCCTGAATTAATATATTTTCTCTAATTTTTTTCTTATGAAATGATAAAGCTACCCATTTCATTATGTATGAGGTCATTTTTTTTTAATTGGAGTTAAAATGAACGTAGATATATGACCGAACCTAACCAACCCTACCTAACCTAACCTAACCTAGCTTTATAGGTTAGGTTAAGTTAGGTAACCGAAAAGGTTAGGTTAGGTTAGGTTAGGTAGGTTAGGTAGTCGAAAAACAATTAATTCATGAAAACTTGGCTTATTAGGCAAATTGAGCCTTGTATAGTAGGCTGAGAAGTGCGTTCTCGCTACTAGGTACGACATATATATATATATATATATTTATGTCATACCTAGTAGCCAGAACTCTCTTCTCGGCCTACTATGCAAGGCCTGATTTGCCTAATTGGCCGAATGATTTACTTTATTTTCGATAAATTGTTTGCAGTTAGTTTATTTGAATTATTATTATTATATTATATTTACATAAATTATTGACGTAGTTGAGTTTGTTTAGGTTAGGTTAAAATAGGTTAGGTTAGGTTGTATTGCACATGTGTGCAATACAAATTTGAGGAAGCCATCCTCAATTTGAAACATCAGAATCATTTATCTTTTCTTGAGGTGAGACGCCAAGTACGCCATCTTTT